CTTGTCATTAGGATTTTGTGTTATTACAAAAATCTCGGTCGATAACGAAAAGTAGCCTGCGACACCCGAAGTGTATGTGTGCCAAGTTTGGTCCGGATCGGTTGAGAGATGGAATTTTCTATTCGGAACATACATACAGACAAACAGACAGATATTCAGCTTTATATATAATTGCCTTATAGTAGTGAAAAGAAAGCCGTGTGAGAGACTGGCTTTCTCAAGTTATGGTGAGTTTTTAGAAAATGCTTTTATTGGGGGAGCATGAGATCACGTCTTCGATTAGGATTTTGCGTTCTAGTGTATATTACCGCACACCGCTATGGGGCACTACTGTTAGGCCGCACGAATACTGGGACCAGGACTTGGCACGAGATAACTTTCTGAAAATGCAAACACGAACCACCCTCCCCTCTGACTTTCTCGAAATTTACGAAGTCCCCTTTGACCTTATCCAGATTATCCGAACAAACCAAAAAAACGAAACGCCGACTCAAAAAACCCTAATTTGTACTTTTTCGGATCCACAGAAAACCACATCCCCTTCGTTTTTTTTGTCCCCAAAACGATATCCAGCTTAATAAGCCACCTGTGCCGAGCCCTGTCTGGGGCAGCTCGACTTTCACTATATTATCCAAATTCAACTTTTCATGCTCTAACAAAGCTATTGCTTATGAAGGAAGCCCTCATATTTCCAGATAAATAAAAGCAAAAAGTTGGAAATCTGCTTTGTTTTTGCGCAATAAAACAAAAGATCATGTTTTCTTGTATGTTTTATCAAGATGGAAGAAACTTAAGGTAAATTGCGCCTGGATGCATAGAGCGTAAAAAGCTTCATAAGAAGGTAGTAGAGAACTATGCTCTTACTTGCGGAGAACCAAATAACACTCGCTTTCGAACTGTTAGCACGTTTCGGACCGGTGCTGCGCATGGTGCAGCACGCGCCATTGAAGAACCTTTTCAACGTTTACAGGAGCTTTTCTTTTTGTCCAAGGTTATCAAGTCAAAGGCCTAATCTCCTCCTTTCCGAAAGGGTCTGTAGAGCTGTGCTGTCAATGTTTGTTCAGGAGATATGAGGACAAATCGAATATCAGTTGCAACGAAGGCGGCAACGCGAACGACGCGTGCGACGTCGCAACTTTTTTTAGCTTTGAATACAAAGCGAAAAACCGTAGTTCCAATTATGATGTGTATCGTGTACAACATAGATGCTTTTGGATACAATTAGAAACTGAGTTCTTGTTCCTATCTTTCAAGGAAGCACGGAAGTCCTTCTCAGACGATAAAATTCAAACACTTCGAATTAACTCATAACTCTGGGTATGGACCTTATTTGACATGCTGATTACAGATGCAGCACACAGTCTACGAATTAAAGTCCCTTTGTTGGCTAACGGCTGAAAGTACCCTCTTTTTCGCCGCGCGCGATTTCGCGGTCCGTGTTAAACCATATCTCCTGGCTTCAGGCGTTGATACAAGTGAGCCATCTAGGTTTAGTGACCCCCTCACTGATTGTAGGAGTGATACCATGGGAAGTTCTATTAGGTTGATGCATAATTTCTGCACCAAAATAGGTACAGACCGCAATAATCCGGAACAATCCTATATCCCAAATAGGATTCAATATATCATTAGATAGAGCAAACCCAGCTTTACAAGATAGTGCTCAAATATCTGAACCAGCTTTGATCCACGCGAAGTTTTGAGCCGAAAACTGAAAAAACCATGCGTTCGAAAACCTTAAGACCAATCAAAACAAAATTGTAACTTCATTCAAAAAACTCCTACAAAATATCTTTCTTGCTCACGCGTAGACATTCCAGGTTAGACATTTATCTATGCGGTTGCTGTATTTTTTTCTCAGCTAGACGATGAGAAAAAGAAGTTTCTCATGTTTTTGCCAAATTAGTGCTGAGATGTCAGACATACTTTTCACTTATTAGGTTGTCAAGAAAATAATGTCCGTTTTTATTTGCTTGCTTTAACAAAGCAGCCAGGCTCAACCCAACAAAGGGTAAGGGGTAATGTTCGATAGAGCAAAGCAAGCTCTGCAAAAATCGAAAAAATTAGATCTTCGTCCGAATAATTTCTACGACCTCCCACTCGCTCACATCAATAATATCGATATCTGATATCCATATGATTTTTTCTGTGACTAGAAACTGAGAAGACGAAAATTCCCCTGATTTTCTCAAAGCAACGCTGAGCCGTTTTTGCATATGTAGTTATATACTACAAGCCTAGATAAATATAACAGTAGATTTTCAGCCCATCAAGCGGTAGTTTTCGAAAAATAACGAATTCGGATCTTTTCGTTTAAGTTTCAGTGCTAAAATCGACATTCCTCGAAAAGTACCAGGCTGAAAACTTACAGTTATGTTTACCTAGGCTTTGTAGAGAACTACATATGCAAAAACGGCTCAGCATTGCTTTGAGAAAATCAGGGAAATTTTCGTTTTTTCAGTTTCTAGTCAGGGAAAAAATACGGCAATCGCACATATGGATATCAGATATCGATAGTATTGATATAAGCGAGTGGAAAGTCCGCAGAAATTATTTGGACTAAGATCTGATTTTTTTCGATTTTTTGGGCATTTGGAAATCTTTAGATTTTGAGTTCGAACTCTCCGTGGATCGAGCATGGCGCAAAGTCATGAGTGCCATCTTGCAGAGCTTGCTTTGCTCTGTCGAACAGTATCCCTTACCCTTTGTTGGGTTGAGTCTGTTTGCTTTGTTAAAGCAAGCAAATAAAAACGGCATTATTTTCTTGACAACCTAATATAACATGACACTGGAACTTACCGCGCAATCCCTGCCTTGCCTTCGAATAAATCGTAAACAACTATTCATTCCAAAAGCTTTTTCGTGTGAGATTGGTATTTTGTGTGTATAAAACTCTGGAAGATGGAGAAAAATGCAAACTAAGAACACTTTTGAATCTCTTCATCGCTAGGCAGTAGCCATAAAAATAATATCCATCGTGATCTACATCCCTGTGCAAAAATTTTCCAAAATGATCATGTAAAACCGTGACAAACCCGCCAATCACATAACGAATTTGTTTTGGCGCCGTTTTCGTAAAGTGATAGACTTTTGGTCACTTTTTTTGGGCTAAACTTCATGGCTTGCACATTACCTCACCTACATGACCACAACTCTGGAAAAATGGTGATACGGATCCAACTTGGCATGCCAGAAGTTGATTGGATCCATTTGGGGTGCCCTTTTTTGAAGACCTACTCAATGAATCTGCTCGTGCTTTTGCATGGTGAATCTTGATGTTGGCAGCGTGTGTTGTGCAAAAAATTGCGGCTTGATACCTTGTCTGCGACTTGTTCTGTGAATTTCGTTACACACACACACACACACACACACACACACACACACACACACACACACACACACACACACACACACACACACACACACACACACACACACACACACACACACACACACACACACACACACACACCAGTCATGATTATTGCGGTCTCTACCTCTTTTGGTGCAGGAATTATGCATCAACCTAATACTATTTAACTGCGCAAATTCTGCTCAAGCTTCATAATTTATCGAAGTGATTGGCTTTGCATTTTAAACGTTCAGAAATTATTAAGCATGTATATGACCTTAAAGGCAGTACATCAGCAGAATGAGACCCGTGACAAAACAAGGTCACAGGGTAGGGGCCCCCATATGGAACCTATCGGCCAAAGTCCGATCTTTCTCTGCCACTTTTAACCCCCGAAATTTCAAAGCGAAAGCAGCGCTCACCTCCTCTCCTCTCCGAACCCGCCCACCCCACGGACGAGTGAACGCGAAGCCCGTCATGGCGAAGACGCAGAGTCGTTGCGGGACCTCATGCTTATAGCATTGCGCCTGGCGCTCTGACCGCGGAAATCATTCGTCCATGGGGTGGGCGGGTTCGGAGAGGACAGGAGATGAGCGCTGCTTTCGCTTTGAAATTTCGGGGGTTAGAAGTGGCAGAGAAAGATCGGACTTTGGCCGATAGGTTCCATATGAGGGCTCCTACCCTGTGACCTTGTTTTGTCAGGGGTCTTATTCTGCCGATCTACTGGCTTTAAAGAGCATCAACTGAAAGAGAATAATATGTTCAAACAGTCGACAAAATCAAAACATTCAATCAATCCTCTTTTCGAGAACATACAGTTACTCTCAAAAGCCATTACATTGACTCTAAAACATTCAAAGAGGCAGAAGAGCAAAATCGAACAAAAAGATGAAGAAAGTGATTTTTTTACAAAGAGCACGGTTTTGAAGCTTTTACAGCGCTTCAAATATCGTTTTAGTATTCCGGAAACCTTGGTATGTCTTCGAAGAAAGTATGCTAATGAAAACTCCTAGAATTCTTTTACACTTTCCGATGTCTATATGCCATTCTGAGTTGTTCAAAAGAACGAGCACATAATCGTCTAGAATTAATCAAAATACTTTGCTCATACTAGATGTCTTAGTTGTTGTGAAGCTCTTTTGGTATTTGAAAAAGTTAACGGTACACAGAATTCAACGCACGAAAAAGGAGATACGGCAGCAGCACCGAAAGATGCTGGGAAACGCTAAGGGGAATAAAAGCAGAAAAAATTATTTGGATTGTGGTTTTTTGCAAAAATAAGTTGTACCCTGTCAATCAACTGGCTGGCGGCTGAAAGGCGGAGCTTCGTGACCTAATTAAGGCTAGATAATGACAGAGAGCACGCGCGCGGGAGAGACGGAGACTGCGTTGCAGGCGCGAATGGCCTTAACTAGGTCACAAAACCCGCCTTCCAGCCGCCAAGCCTGTTATCAAAGTTAGCTCTCGACTGATGCACGGAATGTTCCGTTTATATGCAGTAACTATAAAATTTTGAAGTCAAAAATCCAAGCTTTGCAAAGTGGTATTATCTGGTCGAGATTTTATGCTAGTGACTTGTTTAGACTGTCCGATTTACATGTTTGCTATTGAAACTTAGCAGCTCGACTCTGTCTCTTTCATTTGAAGTATGCAAACTTTGCTTGCCCTTCTTCTTTCAGGCCTCTGGCACAATGTTCAAAGCTTTCATTGCAACAAGGTAAATGTTGCAAATTTAAGTTTCACAGTGCTCCTACTCAAATACAGATGAACTGTGCAAACGAGTTTTACAGATTGATCCGGTACCCGCAAGCCAAAGTAACGCTGAATTAGTGAGAACCGAAAACTGTCGAAACGATGTAACTATTGTTTGTATCAACACAAAATGCAGTTTAACAACTTTATTTGGATGAATCACCGGACTGACACACCCTGTCGACTAGTTAAGGCCAAGAAAAGCAAAATGGCGTCTAAAATGTCAAAAACATACACCAATGCTATCTCTACTCTTGAGTCAATTATCAGAAAGCCTTAGCATCCTTTGGCCTCAGCAAACTCAATTGGGAGCATGCTTAAGTAGGTTGCGAAGTTTCCTCTTTACTCAGCGATTTAACCTTCGTTCACGATTCTACTAGGGTGGTCGGAAAGTGATGGGACCTTGCTTTTTCTTCTACAGTTCAAGATTTTATTTCCATCAAAATGAGCAGGCTGCGACTCAAACTTACCTAAGCGACCTTCGCTTATCATTCCGCTAATGCGCTACCGCTCCTCTCTTACAGCCCTTGGCGTGGCGCCTCGATGAACTTGAGAGGATTTTTGAACATCTTTCAGTCTTGACCTGCTATACCGTAAAGTCATGACACAAGTGATACCATCAGAAAGAGCTTTTCAAGCTTTCTCGAACGGTGTATCAAAGGGGGCGCCCATTACTTGTGCGTGTCATTAGAAATCGCCGCGACGCGGGGTTACAGTAACTCGGGCGAGAGGCAGCAGTGCCAGAGAAAATGTCTCAGAGGGAATGCTTGGGGGTAACGTCAGTATTGTAAACAAGAAGTACATATTCTGTCATCAGATAAGTGGTAAGTTTCACAATTCCATTCACTGTCTATTTCATTTTTACAAGATTTGGGGTCACACTTCCATTGAACAGTAAAGTTTGATATGATAGTGTGAAAACTTTCACAAAAGATGGAATAGTATGCCTTGCAAGTTGGCTACCCGAGCTCTCCTTCAAATTGATTACTGCCAGCCTGTCGCGCGCGGCGCCTGCATAATTGACAGTCACAAGTAATGGGATACACCCTATCAAAGTATTCGGATCTCTTTTTTTCCTAGGTAAAAAGGCAAAATACTTGAAATGCGATTTTTCGGCGCAACGAACAAGAAATAGTGCTTTAGCCGATATGTTCCGAAGATGCATGAAATGAGATGAACTGCCGGCGGATAGAGCATAATGAGCTCTATCGGGTGGAAACCAGAAAACCTGCAAAGATTTGAAATATAAGTGTATCCGTTCTCGAACCGGCTAATGGTCATATGTCCTCAGTCAAAGCGTTGACATCAACAAACTGTCGTAGGTTGGACGACTGTTCCCTCAACCGTTGGAGCAGCGGTATAGGAAATTCAAAAAACCGTGACGATACCGCGACCGCATGTGACACGCACGCATCTCCCAGCAACCGCATTTCCCAGATTTTCATCTTCACTCGAATGGTTTTTCTGCTTACATATGACAATACATATTTAGACATGGGAAGAGACTGAGCTGAGAGTTGAGGTGATGCCGTTTTGTATGAGGTTTTCTGCCTTTGTGACAGACCGCAGTCAAATCCACAAGATTTTACAAACGACCTACACTCTGGAGTAGTCTCACGTGCTTGACTGCGCAGATACTGCTCAAAGTTCACAATCCGTCGAAGTGATTGACTTCATTTCAGCAAGACTAAAATTATCAAACATGTAAATGCCCTTATATACGGCTTATCCTTCAGTGCCTGGAGCATCAGCATCTCCGTTCCCGCGCGGCCGCTTCGTCTGGACTCTGCGCCTCTATCGCAAATATGCTCCCTGATCACTTTCCCACCGCAAGGATGGGAAAAGGCGGAGGGTAAATTTCGCTACATGAGAGATCAAGCACGATGGATTGACTCTAGAACGCGGTAACCCGGCATGCCAGCTAGTACTTCACATTTTTCAAATCTTTTTACATAATTCTTTTGCAAATAATTTCCTATGTATACAGTTCAATTTCAGTGTCATGTGAATCTGCTTGCGCAGTAAACAAGCGATTTGTTTACTTCAGCCTACAGGTGCGATAAGGTGAGAATGACTTCTCCAGGGTGAAAGGGGTCACAGTGGTCGCAGCCCCTCCAGGGTGAAGGGTGTTTCGCTTGGTAGAGAAGTTATAAAATGTCGACGGAGGGGGGGGGGGAGCAATGGTGTTTTCTCATCATTTTTCCTAGTCAAAGTTCATAATTTGTTCCTTACCAACAATGGTTATTTTTTTCTGAAATGTGAACCGATGTGCTGCTAGATTAGCATATTTCTGACGCACCTTGTATTTTTAAGCATTTCCTTTTCCTTTTTTACATCACTCTGCCTGTTTTTGTAATTACCGTAGAAGATGTGCATGCGAGAACATTTGTTTCGGAAAGAGTTAGACAATTTTCAAACATTTACGAATATTTTAAAGGAAGAAATTCGTAATTTCTGCAGATGAACAGCAACGTCAGCAAGGGAAATGTTTTTAAAACCAATCTTATCTTCCGCTTTTAGGGAATATATAGTTTGCTTGGAGTCTGTTGAAAAAGCGCCTGGTGAAGAGTGTGGGTAGTGATTTCTGAATATTCACGAGTTTTTAGGGTAGAAAAATTCGTAACTTCTGAAGATGAACATCTTGTACGCCATGATGATTACTTTTGGAACCGCCTTCTCCTCCGCTTTCAGAAAATATGTATTTTGCATGGAGTCCGTTGAAAAAGTGCCGGGTGAAGGGTGGTTGAGACTTTTATAATAGGAGTGCTCAAGTAGACGTCTTTTTACAATGGTAAAAACCATTATAAAAGTCTCACCGACCCTTCACCCGACACTTTTTATAATGGACCCCAGGCAAAGTTTATATTTTCTGAAAGCGGAGGATGAGACGGTTCCAATAGTGACCATTATGGCGTAAAAGATATTCATCTACAAAAGTTATGAATTTTTTTATTTTAAAAACTCGAAAATCTTCAGAAATCACTGGGACACCCTTCACCCATGCACATTTTATTTTCTGAAAGCGGAGGACGAGGCAGTTCCAATGGTGACCATCACGGCGTACAAGATGCTCATCTGCAAAATTTATTAACTTTTTTACGTTAAAAACTCGAAAATTCCTAAAAAAAACATTAGGCACACCCTTCACCGCACTTTCTTGAATGGATATCAGATATGCTTCGGAAAGCGGAGGACGATACGGTTTCCACGGTGATTCGCCGTAAAAGATGTTCTTCTACAAAAGTTATGAATTTTTATAATGTTAAAAACTCCAAAATGTCCAGAAATCACTACGCACACCCGTCATCAAGCACGTTGTTCAACAGACTCCTTCATTCCTATTACATACACAATTCACGTACAAATATCTCCTTTGCTTAACCTTACCTCACTGTTGAATTTTTCTCGGCTTTTGATGAAGGAGGTCACCTTGGTCCCGGCTCAGGGGTGAAGAGCGGGTGAGAAAATTCTCACACTATCGCACCTATGCTTCAGCCTTCCTTTCAAGTCGCGCGCACTTTTCATCATACACGATAGAGCATGTCAGTCGTATAATAACCTGTGCGAAAAGCCTGTTCGACTAAATGGCTCCTATCCTCGGTGCTCGGCCCCGACTTGTCAAAAACGACATTACATTTGCTTTTTGCTCCGAAAACAAAGTCCAACCTGCTTCCAGACGACCTGTGCCGAGCCCTGACGCGTGGGTGGAGCCTAATGGCGACTTAATGAACTCTACCCTGGTGTATATAGTGTGTAGGGCTTATCTGTGACTACGGCATTCTGCTAGTCCGAAAACAGGCTGATATTAGCAGCTCTTGGAAAACGTGAGACAAACACTCAGCAATCGGTAAGGCTCAATTTGAAGACATGAGAATGTAGTGGTCACATTTCATCGTTCAAGAGCAATAAAAGCGGTAAAGCTAGTAACAAGCTAATGTCATTGGTAACACTGGTAACACGGTTAGCACCTAAATACGGGTAACACTGGTAACACCAGCAACACTGTTAACACCGCCAACAACTGGTAACACCAGTAAAGTCGACTGCACGAAATCGCCCGCTTGCTCTAAGCTAAACGCACGCGAGCGTGCCTGCAACGCGGCTGCCGAGTCGGGGGCTATGATGACTCATGCGCGTGAATGCCAATGTTAGGGTTGTTTCAGACTGCTGCACTGAATGCAGCACACTGCAGCAGACTGCAGCTGACTGCAGCTGACCGCACTGACCACACTGACCGCACCGGTCGCAGCCTCTTTTCTTGAAAGAAAAAACAACCGCGATTATCAAAACAGCGTGATTTGCTCATAAGAAGATCATAAGTTCCATCAGAATTCTTCCCAATCAAATTTTGGCGATAGTTTTCTTTGGTATGTTCGTATTTGTTCTAACTCTTCCTATCATTGCATATACCTGTTTTGTAACATTCTAAACCTTGTTGTTTTTTGCTTTTACGTATATATTGTTGTTGTTTGTTTGAAGCACAACTATTTATCCTCTCCGCCTGCAGGCTTCAGCCGCTGCGGTCGTTGCGGTCAGTGAGGCCAGCTGCAGTCTGCTGCGGTCAGTGCAGACTGCTGCAGTCAGTGCGGCAGTATGAAACAACCCTTAGCCTGCAAGAGGCAGCAGGCGCTTATTCCGGGCGATTCCGTGCAGTCAACTATAACTCTGGTAAGACAGGTAGTGTATGGCCGGGTCTTTGAGATGTATGAACTGAGGATTGTCTGCACAGGACCGATCCTGGTGAAGGCATAATATTCACTCCACCCGCCACCACAAGTAATAGACTCGAGCAACAAGAGCACTGTATTGCATCATTTTTCGAAATCACTTTTAGGAAAACGATTGTATCAACAGCTGGATAATATTTTATTTGCTCATGAACGAGGCAGGATGGCGGAGAAAAGTAGGCCTATTAGCTATGAGTCAGCGCGGTGCCGATCTATCCACCGGCATGTGATTTGATTTCGAAATGTGCGCATTCATGTCCGTCCCATCCCAAAAGACTTGCGCTTTGACTTTGTTTTGAGAATTCGATGCAAACTATGCCGTTATGTATAACCAAAATCTGCGCGTAAACAGGGCCAAGAGTTTAAAGACAGTGTCCTGGCAGATTCGCGCCCTGGGAACTGTTGCTATGGTTAGCGTTCCTGGTCATCCCACTGACCTCCAGGGCATTACGGGTACATGTTCCCCCTGGGCCGAGAAAATGGCCCCTGAACCGGCGCGCGCAGGGTGGGGGAACGAAAGCCGCCAGGTCCAGCCGCCTCCGCGGACTGCTGGTCCTGGAACGACATGCAACAACGCTGCGAAAGGACCAGCTGGCCGCGAAAGGCCGCTGGACCTGGCGGCTTTCGTTCCCCCACCCGGCGCGCGCTCGGACAACTTCGCTTGCCGTTCGGCGCGGGACCCCACAACCGCGTCACCGCATTGTGCATGCTATCCAAAGCCAAATTTTCAGGCAGCAGGGTCTTCGTGCCAGGATCTCCCAACTCTTAATTGAAAATTCTCGTCCGAGCTGCCTTTTGGAAATTGAAAAAACGCCCAGAAAAAGGCCTTTTCACCCGTTTAAAAGCTCAAATTCGGGTTCTACGGGTTGAAAAGGCCCAAAACATGCAAAAAGATGGAAACGCAAATTCTGCCGGGACACTGCCTTTGACTTTCGCCTTAAAAACGAGTTTTCTTTCTAAATAAAGTTCCGTAAAGCTTCCTCCTGTCAAAGGAGTGGAAGTTATCACCACATACAGGGTGTCCCAAAAAATGTGAACACTGTTTGATCGTTAATAACTCCGTTGCTTTCATGTCTTTCGCCGAGCTTGAGGCAACATTCTGTAGAGCGAGGCTAAACTTAGATTTGTAGTATAGAGCGAATCACCGATCGCTGTTCGTTACTGTAGGATTACGGTTTGAACTTCTAGCATGTGGATCTATTGTGAAATATGCCATTTGACAAATTTTTTTTCAAAAAATCTGAAAAATCGTGTACTGGAGTTTTCGCCCACGCTGATTTCATTACACAACTTTTTGCGAGTGTTTTCAGCTTTTTTGACGGTGTAGTCACATTTCTGAAAAAATGCTGTAAATTCAGTTATTACGGTTTACCTGGGACTACATTGGAAAAAGGCATCACAGTAAAGTGGGAATCTCATATTCTAAGGCCCGTATGCACGTACGTCCCCGCTGGGGAGGGGAGGGGAGCTGGATCCCCAGGGGAACGATCCCCTCGGCCGAACCCCGCCATGACAGAGGGGAGGGGAGCGATCCCTTCCCCTGCACCTAAGCGGGGATGGTGTGAATGATTTCAGAGGTATTGATCGAGCGAACCCCAGTGCATACGGGGTTCGAATGGGGGAGGGGATCTCTTCCCTTCCCCCACTCGAACCCCGTATGCGCGAATTCAACTCAATAACGCGGGGGAGGGGATCGACATCCCCTGCAACGAAGTAGGGGTTCGATGGTGTAGATCATGTCAGAGACGCGGATATTCTGGTTCTGCTCAGTCATTACCAAGCATTTCGTTCATTTTGATGGAGGATTTTCTTTGAAAGCCGGATTCTTCTCTCAGCGACCTGTGGCTTGCAATTTGTCTTTTTTTTTCTATATTCGCTTCTTGAGAAGAAATCCGAGCAACAATAGCTGCCAATTTCGATTATTTATAGGAGTTCTTGATCATTCAGGAAATTTGCGCATTTTTCATATAACATAATAGTTTTAACTATATAAGCTGAATAAACACACTGTAACTTTCATATTTCATGACATGTTGCCATTATCTTGTTTTTTTAACATAAGCTGCCTCGAAAAAATCTAGAAAGTAGCATATTTGCCTATTTCTGAGTAGAAATCCCCTGGGGAGTGATCCCCTCCCCAGCGTTCCCCTTGTGCATAGCAGGGATGGCTGCTGGGGATCATTCCCCTGGGATAAACGACGATATGCAGCTGATAGTTACAGCGTTTATGGAGAGCTGACACAATTTGCAGCTTCTGTTATGTGTTGAATGCTGCTTTGAGCGTCCGCGCGGCACCCCCCCCCCTTTTCGGCAGCATAACGTCTTCTACCCATTCGCTTGCAGAGACACATCAACTTCTATAGTTCAACATTCTGACGCTGAAATGGAGCAGCATGAACGAAAGTGGGCAGCATCCAAGAAAGCAGGAACATAATGGGAGTAGAAAAAATCATTTTTAGCGCCCCGAGCGCAGTCACTGCATACGCACATTCCGCAACCCTAAATCAATTGAAATGAGGAGATGAAGATGAGTTGCAGTCAAAATATGAAATAAGAAAGTGTTTTTCATAGAAAATTTGAAAGCAAGGTGATTTCCCCTCTTGATCCCCTCTTGTGCATAAGAGGGTTCACTTCCCCTCCCCACAGGGGATCCCTTGTACGATATTGTCTTTGTGCATATGGGGGTTCGCGCGGGGAGGGGAGGGGATCCCCAGCGGGGATCATTTCAATGGTTAAGCGCACATCCCCTCCCCGCGGGATGTACGTGCATACGGGCCTAAGTCAGCGGCTTCCATTATCATAGTATAAGAGTTTCTGGCTTGTTTAATTTTGTTTCGAGGCAGAGTATGGCCTCCAATGGCCTAAAATCCTTGACGAAGTTCCTACCGTAATCCTACCGTAATGGAGAGAGATCGACGATTCGCTCCGTACTGCAAATCTAAGTTGAACATCGCTCTATAGAATGGTGCCTCAATCTTGGCGAAGGACATGAAAGCAAGGGAGTTATTAATGATCAAACAGTGTTCACATTTTTTGGGACACCCTGTATAAATGTGAAACTAGAGACCTTGTCTTCGATTCTTGAGCACACGCAAGAACAGCTTACAGAATTTATCTACCAAAAAGCTTGAAGGGCTAGAAAACTACGGTGGTTGAGGAAAATGGGGAGAAACTTGAAGTAAGAACGCTATATAATGAAGCTATTTGTTTATTGCATCGATATTTCATCACGGTTGTGGAGGTCACACGCGTAGAAGTTTGAACGCATACACAATAGCAGTTGCTCTGGCCAGGTCCGCCGATCTTACTCATATATAAAGCCACTTATAGATAAAAACTTCAGATTTAAAGTGCTGTTTCGTCTAGGTTTTTTTTTTGATGTTTAGCATGCCTGCTTCACAAGTGTCAAAGATGGTCGGCTCACTATGGGTTGCTTCGACTCGGTAAAGCATTGGGATCATATTGCGTTATGTTTCGCCAAACCCGACACTGAAACAGGTTGCTCATACGATAAAATGGTATGTTCTCTTGCCGTAATCATAGCTTTTGATTCAAAAATCGCTTCAGACGCGCCTCGGCTTTGACAATTGGGGGACAGGATTTTGCTGTTGTCGAAGTGAAAAGTGCAACCAACTACCACCTGAATGGGTAAAATTTTCTCAAATTTTCGAAAGAATACTTGTGCTTGTGTTGCAGCTTGCTCTTTCATCTTGGCGCCTTAGATGGAGAATTTGTTCAAACTTTTTGATAGTGGCCACTGTCTTCTCGTTTGCTTTCTATGGATATGGACTATTGGAGTCACAGAGCAGAAAAACACTAGGCAAGAAGGTCTGTGCTCATCACATTAGCCCTAGTAATAGTCTTTCCAATTCGTACGCTTATAAATCATTAGCAAGTACAACATTTCTGACGCTGGGATTGTTGCTTCAGAGTTCTGCAAAACAATCCATTTCGTTCCCATTGATTTGTTCAAAATGATTAGTATATCACGATTCAGTTGGTTTAAATCCATAAATAATGCCTCAAATCTGCCTGCTGTTGATAAATGGAGGAATTTGCGTAACTCCATGCCCCCTAATTTTTTGGCCTAGGATAATAAGCTTCAAATGGAAATGATATAGGCCTTACTTCCAAAGTGTTACAGCTCTGCTAACGGCTGTTGAAATTTTGAGCATGCTTCTAAAAATAATCTCAAAAATAGGAGAGTTATAAATTGCTTTAACAATCTTTGTTTCGGTTTTTATAAATGTTCGATGCTTTCTCAAATGATTGTGTAGAAGCAAGATTAGTGTGTAGCTGACAGTAGGATACTTCTAAGAAGCCATGCTATGTGGAAATTTCCTCTTATGTAAGCTAATTTATATGTATCTTTAGGAAAAGAGAGGTAATGGAAGCTGGATTTCTTAGTGGCATACCCAGGTCTTCCGTTTGGGAGGGGGGAGGGGGTAGGGCGAGGAAGGGCGCGGGAGGGGAAGGGAGCATGGTGTTAGCCCCGCACTCTATGAACTTTTGGGATTGTAGAATTGTTTTTATAAGGCTAATTTGTATTTTTAAAAATGTTTTTTATTTACCTAACAAGGAAAGGATACTCGGTGGCCGTGTTTGGAATGCGATGCATACCGTAAGATGCATCTTGAAGTGCTGATTTTAGATCTGTGCTCGATATCTGCGAAACGATTTTCTGAAGAAAATTATGCCCTTTTTTCGTAGAAAATTTGCGTATTTTTGGATAGTTAAAATCATCGAATTCGTTCTAGGTTACTGTTCGAAGCTATGTAAGAAAATCTCAAAAGGAGTGCTGTTGTTTCTACCTATCTAAATCATATTCAGTATTTGAAAAATTCTTGATAATTTCGACAGTCCGCAGTAGAGCAATTTATTTATGAAAAAATAGTAATAGCGCCATCCAGATTATCGTTTATGGAAGCCAGTACTCGAACCAGCATTGAAAGGCGCATTTTTTGATATACAAATCACCAGGAATGGCCGCGGTCACCAAATCCCCTCTCCTAAAAAAACAAGTTACTTGCATACTTTTGAAAAGCCTTTTTGACTAGGTATCGTACATTAGATGTGGCTTGAGTGTTTGCCTAATCGAACACATTCTTCGATTTGCCAAAAACGTAGTATTTTTTTCAAGTTTGAACTAATGAAACAAACTGTGCAGCAGACTGGCCTGTTCTCCCATTCCTGCCCGAGATAGTGTCGTCTACTGGCATCTTCAGTTAGTGTTAATGTTTCAGAAAAAGCGCAAAAGAAAGAGTGAAAAAAAACGAAAACAGCAACAAAGTGACAAATCCAAGAAAGCTTCTAATAGTAGTCGAAAAAGTGGAAGAAGTCAAAAAAGTCCACGTAAAAAGAAGAGTTCACAAAAGAAGGGAAATTAACTATTAGAAGGTCAGTGATTGGCATGAGTCTGTCTAGCTCATCGTTTTTCCTTGAACCTTTGTCGTAAAGCCGAGCGTTCTTGAGAGCAATGTTGAGAGTAAGTTAGGCGCGGCCATAGTTTGCGCGATTTTGTCTCCGCGCAACATCGGATTGCAACGTGCTCACAATTCTACGTAGGCGCGTATTGTATAAACAAGACTCGGCAGGTACGCATAGGCTTGCAAAAACTATGCGCTTATGCACTTGATCATATGTGGTTGATCTGGGGTAGTTGAACGAACTCCGCCGGCCGCCCTCGCAGACTACTGTTCCTGCTCCGACACAACAGCAATTACAAGGAATTTCCCAGCGAAGGCGGTAGAATTGTGGAATTCGTTTCCCTACCCGGTGGATTTGCCGTCAGCTGACTCTGCCAGTCGCGTGGTGACCGCGATTTGAAGAGCCCGTCCAAGCCTGAATTTGTTCGAACCCCCTAAACCCGCCGGAACCCGCCGAAGGCTTGATTGAGGGAGGCAAAGGCGATATACCGTCTAATTTGTGATTGAAATGTACATTTCACAACGCGCGCTGTATCTAACTTATGCTTGAGATGCCAAAATCCAGATATATCTCATCCCTGATTTGCAGGTCCCGGCGGGTTCAGACGGGTTCGGACGGGTGTTGGCGTATACCGGCACGGTTTGAACGATGCTGAGGTGCTCCCAAATTGCCCACACACTACTTCCAAAGGAACGTCCGAGCCTTGAGGGTCACGCTCGCTTCCTCGTACGGCCAACCCGCTCGAGAATCTCCTCAGCCCTTGGTGCGCTTTTTCGAACGCATAATGTTTACTTGTTAATGCTCTGTTTTGACACGTCACGCTCAATAGCGTCGGGGGTAAGCCAAAAAAGGAAATTTTTAAGGTCAATCTTTTTCAGCGTTTTTTTGAATATACAAAATCAGGGCCATGAAAAGGCTTGGATGAGGGAAAAATGCAGAAGTCGAGGATTTGCCCGGAGCTGCTTTTGAGTGTCGCAAGAATATTTTAGGTTGTCCTGAAAGTCTTGTCGGTTCTTTCAAACCACTCTAAAACCATGTACAGAAAAGACCTGAATGATTTTCAAGATGCATCCGTTACAGCTTTTCCTTATCTTTCTTATGGTTATATTTTCGAACCACAATTCCACATGCGTTTTTGGTAATTGCCGAAATTCTTCCCCCGTCATTTTAATCTGCTTAAATTCGGCTATTTTCAAAAATTTCGTTCCAAAGTTTCTGAAAGGGTTGAGTATGGCGCAAATAAAGCAAATCTCGGACTATACAAAAGTGTTCTTAGATTTTCCTAATACGCTGGCTTAGCTTTGAAAAAATTATTTATTCGGAAATCTTGATTTCTGGCAAAGTCATGAAACACGCAATGCAGCAAAAACATGGAAGATCTCGAGGTTTCTGCGAGTTGAAACCTAATTGATATTAAACATTATTTGTAGAACCTAATCATGTTTGACTTGCTTTGAAGAATCAGCCTTTTCGGAGTTTTTCGGTATTATAGCATATTAAACGTGATCAAAAAGGTGCGGTTTTTCCCAAATAATTTATTATTACTAAATTGATAAACGTGCCCATGTAATCTGAAATGGGTGCAATGTGGGAGGTTTGCTCTACATATCAACTGCTAGCTCTCTTTAGAAATATTAGGATAAAGATTTTTGAAATTTAGGGAAGATACGGCATTACTGCTGAGCTGCTCAAATAGCCATCTCTATAACCTCGCAAAGACAACACAACAGAGAACAAATATAGCAGTAAGAAAGAGAATAAAAATCTGAATTGACTGATACTTAGATCGTTCTTCGATTGATGTTCTGTGAGTTTTAGTGATGATGAAAACAACCGACAAATCTTTCAGCACAACCTAATATGTAACAATTTCTCTCCTACTTCTTGTTTTGCTTTGAATATCATTTATTAGCACCAGCATATGCAATCTCGTATGCTGCTTCCCTATAAGTGCTGTAAATCACCACCTGCTCTTAATATTGCACAAAAGTCATACCTGCGTATCAATCTCAAAACCAAGGTTTGAAAAAATTTTAGTTTCAGGTGCCGCTTAATTGTGCAAAGAAATACGAAAAAACAACTCTTAAAGACACCAATAATAAACAAACATTTTAAATTATAAATATTGCTGTACAAACTGACAAGCATATGTGTGAGGTAGCGAAGAGCTAAGCTCATACGAAAAATTCTATACTCGTACAACTTTACAAGTGGAAAGGAATCAGCTTGAGTAGCTCAAGTCCGGCATTGAAAGTTCTAGCGTTTCAAGATTAGCTTTGAATTGATGAGGTCTTCCAAACGATATAATTACAACTTTACAGGAAGAATAGAGATAATTGAAATCATGTTAATGCATTTTCGGACATTCGCTTCATTTCTTGAAGGCATTCGATAAGAGTATTGCGGAAACGCTGAGCATTCTGAAAAACTTGTTATCAATTCTGAAAGAGGTAGACGATTGTGGAAATCAACATACAGTATGCTTCAGCGATTTCCAAGATGTCACATGGAAACTAAGCAGATCACCTGTGGTACCAACAGTGTAGCAAACACCTAAAAGGAATTATTGATTTTTCGAACTTTTTAAATCTTAATCCTACCATAATTGGATCCTTCCGGACAGGCGAAAGCGCCAGCTGGCCAGAACAACTCCCGTTCATTGTTAAGTTTCTTTGTGTATTCGCTCATTTGATGTTGTGGAGTCTTAATGTCAGATAATTAAAAATTGGCACATTAGAGCCGCATCAGAATTTCTACGTGGCTTTTGGCACATCGCTGGAACGCTGCTGGCACAGCGTCGACACCCGAGCAACTGTAAACGCTCTGCCTTATAGCACTAATGCCTCACCTGACTTGTTGATAGTGCATAGTTCATGCTGAACACATTCTCCAAAAATGGCGATGAAATACCATAGTATTTGGACACCACATACATGGCAAACAGATGTCTATCAACGCCATGGCCAGCCATTGCATTTCGATAATAAGCCTGATGACGATCGCAAGCTCGTCTCAACAGTCTCATCCTGTTCTGATCCTGGAACTTTGGCGATGTATCCGAATGAACCTTTAATAAGCTAAATTCCCACGTTTTCATTTTTATCCAACATTGATCGAACAAAATCGCAAGATTCAGTACTGCAACTTCTCACAGTTTCCGTTCGTCCATCGCGATACAGTCGCATAACAGCTGGTTCGTATGTAAGCTCAAATTTGCCTTGGTCCTATAAAATCGAAGTTGATTTTTCCAAGAAAGACTTTTAGCACAAATACGACCAGACGGTTTTTGGATCTTGTCACTCCAAACATACTCTGCAATGTCGGGTTCACGGCCCCAGGTGAGTCGCATGCTCCAGATTTGTAGTTTCAGAGGAATTTTGAAAAGTAGCCAGAATTTTGCTCGAGGATTGAGGAGCAGTTTAGCTTATTATGAGAAATATTCATTTAAATTTTTGCCGTCATACGGTAGAATTACGGTAGCCATTCAGCATGAGAACAACATCACATATTTTTGTGGAGAACGTTATTTTTAGGTGGTCCCGACTAAAACTCCAAAATGATAGTTCACTAGGGCCCTACAGTAAGACTTCAATAGTAATGGGATCATTTTTCGAAAATCTAGATTTTTATATAACTAGCCAATGGTAGACCTATTTTTGAGTCATATGTTACCGCGCTATATGAAGAATTTTTAAAACTAAACCCTGCCCATTTACGAACTTTCACAATTTGTAACTCAACAAAATGTTTTATTAAAAAGTTCTTGGTATAGGGCCGACAATCGCCGCGCGTTGTGCAGGCTCACATATTAAGTTACGAATGTCGACGATAGAAGCTTTTTCAAGAAATTCTTCTATAAACAAGTTTTGAGCTTTTGGTATGAATAAAGATCAAAAAAATGATAAATGGGTAGAGCAGTCATAGCTTACGTACTTTGTAATATGCCATCTGCATTGCCATTTGAATGTAGGCGTCTGGCG